CTAATTATATTGCTAAGCACCAACATGCACAAACCTTAGGATGCTAAGCACAATCATGCACAATCCTTAGGTTGCTAAGCACCAACATGCACGATCCTTAGATTGCTAAGCACAAGCATGCACAAACCTTAGGATGCTAAGCACAAACATGCACAATCCTTAGATTTCTAAGCATAAACATGCACAATCAACATGAATAATACCTCAATCATTGAATTAAAAAATTCCCAATAACAATCATTCAATTCACATAAAAGAAAACTACATGGTAGCTAGCTAGGGTTTCACAACACCCAAGTGAAAAGAAATCTACCCCATGCTAGAAATTGGAGAAACACAAGGGGAAGAGGTAAAAACCATCATGAAGGAGGCTTCCAATCTCCTAAGCACTTGTGCTGAACTTGTCTTGGGGAGAATCTTCCCAAATCACCACTTGGAGAAAAACCCTAGCCTCCTTCTCCTTTGGTTTGTCTTTCGCTCTCTAAAAATCTGAAGAAGGCTTTCTCACACAAATGGGCTCTACCCTCTCTCTTCCTTTTAGCTCATCTTTTAAAGAGGGAACGAGCTCAGTTCACAGCCTTAGTTCCCGGCCGTGAACTCTAAAACGCGTCCGTGAATTTAAGATGGGCGCCGAAACACACCTCTTTGCTTGCACGTGTTCACGGTCCACAGCTCCAGTTCACGATCTTAGTGACCGTGAACTCGCCTTGCGTCAGTAACCTCTAGAACAACTCTGGACGCCTCGACGTTCACGGGCAACAACACTTCTTCACGGTCATGCAAGACTGTGAACATCCAAGGAAAGCCGTGAACTTGCCATTTTTCACCTCTTCTCCCGGTTTTCGCTCCTTTTCCTCCAACTTTCGGACCGAATTTGCCACAAACGCCTAAGTAAAACGGGGGCAACAACTCTTCTCCCGGTTTTCACTCCCACACACTTAGACGTTTGCTTGTCCCCAAGCAAACCATTTTACACAAGGTAATATTTCAACCTACACAAATACTTTGGAATTCTCAATGGCTATTGGCAATTAACACATGGACCATTGCAAGCAATACCGACATCCACCACAAACGACATTCGAAGCCATCAAAAATGGGCAAACGAAAAGTTCTCACCTTGTTCATGGATCAATGCAAGTCTCAACGAAACCACTTATCAACCGCAACTAACCATGCGTGGAATTCAAGTCCAGGGAACAAATGGGAAGGCAACCAAGGTCATCACCGGGGTATGATATGACATGCAAAGTAGGAATGAATTACTCACTCTCAATACCAGTGGGGTTGGGACCTTTTTGGTGCCAAAAGATGTGCACAATCATTAACACTCAGCCCTATCGTCTCAACACCATGGCGGAAACCTCTAAATGCTAGAGGTCACGGAATGGTTGTCATCACTAGCTTTTCCGGAGGTCTTAGGCACGGGTTCAGATGACTGGAAATTGTCTTGGACATGGGGAAAAGGCTTTTTGGGTGGTGGCAATCATGACGTGACGTTCTACATCTTCAACCTAAACCCGAAGGTTTTATGGTTTCGACTAAAACCCTTCTCTTCAACCAAAGGCCACTAGCATCGACCAAAAACCTTATCTCTCCTTTCCAAACTATCACCCATCGTGAAATACATTGAAGCACTCTTCATCGGTCTACTCTTGCTATCATCTTACGGTTTGGTAGTGAAGGAGTTCTAAAACAATGTGGGGGTCTCAATGGCTTGAGTGCCAAGATGCCCCTTCTAGAGCATACACTTTGGCTTTTCGTGGCACTCTCTACTTTATTTACCCCGTTTTATTACCTCTTTTTACGTTTCTCTTTTCTTTCCTTTTCTTTGGGGGGGGGGGGGGGGGGGTACTAGAGAGTAGAACCTTTTCCACCTATACATTTAACGACCAATGCTCTCTTTTTGAAGAACTCACTCCAAAACTACACTTCATTTTTCATTCCTAGCAAGAACCGCACATAATCCTCCTATGTAGAACCTCAATGGAACTCAAAAGGGAGAGCTCCGAGACACAAGGATGACTCATGTTTAGACACGAAGAAATGATTGGGGGTCGTTCTATTAACACCATTAAGCTCACAATCAAGAAGCTCCTAAATTGAGAACGACCCTCGAAGTCACAAGGCTCAAAGGGGTTGACTAAGGGATGACACGTTCTGGGACAATCAACATTTGGGCGTGGACTAATCCTATGCCTCCATCATACTTACTTGTGACAACTGTGATGTTACACACCATGGTAAGAGGGATCTAAGCACACAAGAAGAAAACGATCGGCTCAAAGCTCACATGGCTACCTAGTCACCCAACCATCTATTCCAATTCACAAATACAATGCATGGCAATTGTAATCAACAAGTAATCGAATCAAGACATCCATTCATTTATGCACACATGAGAACTAAAATTTTGCGCTATCCTAATGAACCTCTCAGTCATCATCACAGGATATACGCGATCACATGCAACAATTCAAGGTCAATGCCAATAAACACGAGATTTTCCCACACATCGGCCACTTTGATCATGCAAACATTACCTGGAGCCGTCAAATTTTTGAAATTTGGGAATATAGCAAAGCTCCAAGCATCAATCACACTCACACAAGCATAATCGTAAACTATCCCCCCCCCCCACACACACACTTCAGCTCGACATTTCCCTCAATGGCGTAAGAAAAGGGTAGAATGATGTTACCGCTTGGGCTTGGTGAGTGAAAGTTGGAATCGAATCCGGGGTAGGATATTTTGAGATTCAAGGAGATACAAAAAAAAAACACACACACACACAAACACAAACACAATACGACTCGCTCGAGGCGGGGTTGTTAAAACACAATATGATAGTAGTAGTAGTAGTTATGGGTCACACACACACACACACACAAAAGAAAGAAAAATAACAAAAACAACAAGTTCAGGGTTACAAGTAAAGAAGTGGGGCGAAAGAAATCGACTCAGTCACATGTCTCACTCGTCGGCTACCTCTCGCGGGTGGAAGGATCCTCGTCCTCATCTGGGAGGATGCCCTGGCGTCGAGCCACAGCTCAAGGATATCGGTCTGCCGGTCGAGGCAGGAAGAGAATCCCACAAAGTTTGTCTCAAGGCAATACACCCTCTGGACGAGGGAACACCTACTACTGTTGGTGGTGGCTGTGCTGGGCGCTGGACGCCGGCGGTGGCCGGGTGCTCGAGCAAGTGGATGCTCTGCTGGCGATGGGACCCCGGGGTCAGGCTCCACTGGAGCCGGTGCAACTGCAGTTCAATTCCTTTTTTTCTTTTTTTTTTCTTTTTGAGGGGGGTACTAGAGAGTAAAACACTTGCCACCTATAAATTTAACGACCAATGCTCACTTTTTAAGAACTTACTCCAACACTACACCTTCATTTTTCATTCCTAGCTAGAACCGCACACAATCCTCCTATGTAGAACCTCAATGAACTCAAAGGCGAGAGCTCCGGGACACAAGGACGACTCATGTATAGACACGAAGAAAGGATTGGGGTCGTTCTATCAACACCATTAATCTCACAAGCAAGAAGCTCCTAACATGAGAACGACCCTCGAAGTCACAAGGCTCAAAGGGGCTGACTAAGGGATAACACATTTCTGGACAATCAACATTTGGGCGTGGACTAATCCTATGCCTCCATCATAATCACTAGTGACAACTGTGATGTTACTCGCCATGGTAAGAGGGATCTAAGCACACAGGAAGAAAATGATCGGCTCAAAACTCACATGGCTACCTAGTCAACCAACCATCTATTCCAATTCACAAAACACAACGCATGGCAATTGTAATCAACATGTAATCGAGTCAAGACATCCAATCATTTATGCACACATGAGAACTAAACCTTTGCACTATCCTAATGGACCTCCCAATCATCATCATAGGACTTATTCGATCACATGCAACAATTCAAGATCAATGCCAATAAACAAAAGATTTTCCCACAAACCGGCCACTTTGATCATGCAAACATTGCTTGGAACCCTCAAATTTTTCAAATTTGGAAATACATAAAGGCTCCAAGCATCAATCACACTCACACAAGCATAATAATAAGCTACCCCCCCCCACACACACACACACACTTAAGCTCGACATTGCCCTCAATGACGTAAGATAGTGGTAGAACGATGTTGCCGCTTTGTTCGGTAAGTGAAAGTTGGAATTGTTTCCGGGGTAGGAGATTTGGAGCTTCAAGGATAGACAAAAATAACACACACGCAAATACAATACGACTCGCTCGAGGCGAGGTTATTACAAAACACAATACGATAGTAGTAGTGTGTGGTCACAAAAGAAAAACAAAAACAAAACAAGTTCAAAGTTCCAAATGCAGAAGTGGGGCGAAATAAATCGGCTCAGCCACATGTCTCAATCGTGGGATGCCTCTCGTGGGAAAAAGGACCTTCTCCATCATCTGGAAGGAGGCCCTGGCGTTGAGCCATTAGCTCGAGGAGGTCGGTCTGTCGATCGAGGCGGGAAGTCACTCACATAAAGCTTGTCTCGAGGCGATCCACCCTCTAGACGAGGCGGTCACCTTCTGGTGCTGGTGGTTCTGGTGGTGGTCGGTGTACAGGGCGCTGGAGCGCGGGACGCCGGCGGCGGCCGGGTGCTCGAGCAGGTGCCTGCTCTAGAGGTGAGACCTCTGGATCGGGCTCCACTGGAGCCGGTTCAACAGCTCTCTCATGACTCCTGATGGTCGAAGTCCATCGAGGTACTCAACACCTCGATCTCCCTGGAGTACCAGCCTCTGGTTATACAGGTTCGCCGCTGGGAAGGGCTCCGTCCTCCCGATAATGGAGCACCGCGCCAAGTCCACGTGGAAATATTGGGCAATCCTCGTGATGATTACCCCCCATGTGCAATTGTCCACCCTGTTCCGCCCCAGAAACCGGGTAAAAGAGGTGGCAATAAGCAATCCCAGAGGGATTGGCTCCGCTAGACTCCTCATGGAATAGAGAGCAAGTAGCCCTCTGTTCATCATCAGATGGCCTGACTGCGGGCTGGGGACGACCGATCAGGTGAGCAAGGTGTGGAGGATCCTCAGCTTCACCGCATTGGTGCGGCTCCCGTCAAACTCCTCATGCTCATGCTCGGGGCGGCAGAGGGCTCGGAATGCTGCCTGGTAGTGGAAGTCGACACCGTACTGCTGCTCCGTCATCGTCATATGTGCCGTGTCGAGCCCCATGGCACGAGCAAAGGCATCATAGGTTAGCACTGGTGGCTGAACTCCCAGCATGAACTCCACATGCGGCCGACTGTTCTTGCTGGATGAGACGACATGGGAGAAGTTGGAGTAGAACTCCACGCAGATTTTGTGGTAGATCTGCTCGTCCATCGTTGACTCGCTAAAACACAACACCTAACTATGGCCAAGTGTAACCAATGGAAGGGACTGCAGTATAGTGGCTCAAGTGATAAATATCGAATCCACGGGTCTCTAGAGTTACTATTACTCAGCTTCAGTTTATTATTTAGCAAACCAGATTAAGATGAAAGAACTAAAACTACTCTAGCAAACTACAGTTAAAGCTAATCTAATTATATGTTGGGAACTCACTTAGGTATGATTCCCCCTAGCCACTAGCCAGACAAACAATTGATGATTTCCAACTTTTTTCACTTTCATTCACAATGCGGAGAATCCTTGACTAGACCTTGAGTCTCGACTAAAGGAACAAGGCCCTCTTGAGTCAATTGCCTAGAGGGATGTATCCTTCTCTAGAACAACTGATCAAGGCGTTCTGAACTAGACTCCCTCTATCGAAAGAGGTTCTCAATCGATACGAAGCAGTGAATCAACCCTCGACTAAAGCAATCGATCCACTACTATCAATCTATGGTGCTCTATTGACCTAATCAGGTATTCCCTCTCATAGAACCAAAGCAGAATCAATAATCTCGACTAAAGCAGAATTGAATCATGAAAACATGCATAGATTGAATATGAACTCAAGATTATCCAGTCAGAGTACTCATACAATCATCCAATCAAACAAACATAGCTAGGGTTCCTCAAAACCTAAGTGAAGGGAAGTTACTCCATAGAGAAGAGAGAGACTGCAGTAAGAATCTTCAGATGATCAGTCTTCAAGTCCGGGCTTGTTCCTCGAGCTTCCAAGGCGAAGAAATCCTCCAACTCCACTCCAAGAATGCCCTCAAATTGCCCTCTCTCTCTTTGGTTCGTCCCTTGGGTGTTTGGGATCCAAAACCCAGCTCTCCTCTTCTCCTCTGGCTGAAAATCGGGTTTTAAGCAGAAAATCCCGACTCACACGGGCAGGGTGGCACGACCGTGTGGCTTACCCAGTTTCCCGTGTGAGTCAAAACGCTGCGTTCCAATTAGTTCGAATTCCAGGCTCTTTGCACGGCCAGAATGGCACGGCCGTGTGGATATCCCCTCTTGCCCGTGTTTGCTCTCACAGAATGTGGCACGGCCAACCCGGCCACTTGCACGGCCGTGTCGATCCTCTGCACTGCCCGTGTGTGCTCTCGGCAAAACTCGCACGGCCAGGCCATTACTTCACACGGCCGTGCGAACATCAGGGCAGCCCGTGTGACCTCCTTTGTAACTTGTCTCGCACCCGATCTTCACCCAATCGACCCCGAACTCGCTCCTAAACCTTCATTCATTTTCCCGGACCCGAAATATCACAAACAAGCACAACCTAGCGTGAAATCGGTCTAAAACACGAGAAACCACCTCTCAAACGGTGTAAGAACAGGGGTGAAAACATGTGTAACTAACGGTCTATCAAACTCCCCCACACTTAACCGTTTGCTTGTCCCCAAGCAAACCTAACTCAAACCAATGCAACTCTCCAGACCTCTATAGCAACAAACAACCCAGATCGTAGGTAGAGGACTTCCTAGATCATTTAGCAACTTACGAGGTCAACCAACGCACAAGTCATCTCAAAGCTTCTTCGGCGAGTCGGCATCATGGCAAATAGTGAACAGAGGACAAATGAATTGTGGATGAAGAGATTCTCAAAAACAACAGATCATGGACTCACATTTTTCAAGGTGCTCTATTTTCTGCTTAAGGATGGTTGGAACCCCTTTTCTTTCGGTCTTGCTTGTTTTCTGTTATTTTTTTCTTTTTTTTTTCCAAGGGTCCCAACCTGCTCTTACCGGCCATGCCAGGAGCGGATGTCTCGAGCCTCGTGCGGGGGAAAGACATGTAAGGGGGCTGGAGGTAGTAGGTGGAAATTGGGAACGGATTCCCGTCTCCCCTTACACACTTTCGCCCTATTCGCACGGGAGACGTTATTTTGAAGCACATTTTCGAGCACCTGTTAAACTTAAAACATGATACAAGAGTCCATGACAGGTAGAGAATCCACAACACCACACAATTCAAGGGTCCTAAGATCACTAATTCACTCAATCAACCAACTCAGTATGAAGAAGAAATGAGACTTCTTAAATGCATCAACATCCTCCATAGTGCTACACTACCTCCCTAGGTTGCATATTACTATAAAGACTGTCAATTCAAAGCATACTAAGCAGGCAATTGCAAGGAACACGTACTTGGAGCCCTCAAATTTAAAAATTTGGACAGTGGACTAGGCTCCAAGCACACAAACAGCCAAACATTCACCCGCATACATAATCGAACATCCCCCCACACTTAAGCACGACATTGTCCTCAATGGAGGAAAGATAAGGAGGGTAGAACGAAATTACCAGATCAAGGGTGAATGATGATGAACGGGTCAGGCGGTGCATTCCAGAAAGAGAGAGTAATCAGAACACAAACACCACACAAAATCTCACAAAGGTTAAGTTATTGACTCTAAAATCAAATAGCAAACTGACTCAACCGAGGAGAAATAGAGACAGAAATGCAAACCGACTGGTTGGGTTGCCTCCTTACAAGCGCTTCTTTCACGTCGTGAGCCGGACGATGGCTCCTAAGTTTTGGTCCATGCTAGAACCTCCTTGAAGTTGAGGTTCTCGTCGATGAGGTGGAGTCTCAAGTCACGAGCATGTGGTGTGGCAGGTGATGAAGGCTCATGTACTTGATGCAGATGAAGTCTCCACCCTCGAGACCTCTCCTTCTCTTCTCTCGTCTCATTGCCCCAAACCAGATATGACAGTATCGATTGGCCACCATCGCGTCCACCAAGAGGGACCGATGTCGAGGTGGCCTTGGTCTGGCAAAGAGACACTGCAAATGGGTCCTTGCTAAGCTGTTCCTCGAAGTTTGGTGGAGATATCACATGTAACTCATGGCCGGTGCAGGCCTCTTCCACCTTAACTCCGTCCTCAGCCTGGACGCCAATTGCTTCTTCAACCCCCCTTTCTTCTTCATGTGGTATCACCCCTGGGAAATGATCAAGAACTCCTCCTGCTTCACTTTCGTCATCCTCCACAACTTCTTTCTACACCCTTTCTTGCTCTTCTTCTTCTAGCACGAATTGGAGAGCAATTTGCCAAGCAATTTCTTTCATGAGATCTTCTTGCATCTCCTCACTCATGCCCGCCTCTTCAAAGCTCAGTTTGGGGTGTGGGAAGGTGTGGTCGGCTACGACATGACACTCATGATCATGATCATCACGGGAGCTCTCCGTGACAACTTCAATGTGCTCTTCAATGTCCTTGTAGCCTTCTTCGTCCTCCTCCTCTTCTTGTATGGTAGCAGAACGGTGATCTGGAGCAGGTTGTGCCAAAGATCGCTCAAGATCATCGACACTCTTCTTAAGGCTCAGGAGGATCTCCTCTGTTTCACGAAAGGCCTGGACACAATGATCCATCCTGGAGCATGATCTCTCCATGAGAAGCCTCAATTCGTAGTGTGGATCTGGCTGTGGAGTGTAGCATGGCTCTGCAGAATGGCCCATGAAGGCCGCCATGGGTAATTCCAGCTCCAATGGCCCCTCTGGTTGTGGGAGAAATTCTTCTTGGTAATGAGGTTGTTCTTGATATGCCCAGGGGTCCGGTTGTTCTCCGTAGTAAGGGGGTTGGTACTGGAATCCGAATCCATAGTCTTCTCTTCCTTGATTGCTCCAGGGAGTCTCGGGGTAATACCACTCAGGTGGTGGTGGATACCCCCAATTGTTGGAGAAGCCATGAGGATCCATGATTCAGATCTGCACCAACAAAAACAAAAACACCCAAGTGAAAAGCAAGGGTGGAAAAGAAAAGAAAAACGCTAAAGTAACAAACTTCTGCCTTTCCTAATACTTTAGAAAGTCCCCGGCAACGGCGCCAAAAACTTGACTCGCTAAAACACAACACCTAACTATGGCCAAGTGTAACCAATGGAAGGGACTGCAGTATAGTGGCTCAAGTGATAAATATCGAATCCACGGGTCTCTAGAGTTACTATTACTCAGCTTCAGTTTATTATTTAGCAAACCAGATTAAGATGAAAGAACTAAAACTACTCTAGCAAACTACAGTTAAAGCTAATCTAATTATATGTTGGGAACTCACTTAGGTATGATTCCCCCTAGCCACTAGCCAGACAAACAATTGATGATTTCCAACTTTTTTCACTTTCATTCACAATGCGGAGAATCCTTGACTAGACCTTGAGTCTCGACTAAAGGAACAAGGCCCTCTTGAGTCAATTGCCTAGAGGGACGTATCCTTCTCTAGAACAACTGATCAAGGCGTTCTGAACTAGACTCCCTCTATCGAAAGAGGTTCTCAATCGATACGAAGCAGTGAATCAACCCTCAACTAAAGCAATCGATCCACTACTATCAATCTATGGTGCTCCATTGACCTAATCAGGTATTCCCTCTCATAGAATCAAAGTAGAATCAATAATCTCGACTAAAGCAGAATTGAATCATGAAAACATGCATAGATTGAATATGAACTCAAGATTATCCAGTCAGAGTACTCATACAATCATCCAATCAAACAAACATAGCTAGGGTTCCTCAAAACCTAAGTGAATGGAAGTTACTCCATAGAGAAGAGAGAGACTGCAGTAAGAATCTTCAGATGATCAGTCTTCAAGTCCGGGCTTGTTCCTCGAGCTTCCAAGGCGAAGAAATCCTCCAACTCCACTCCAAGAATGCCCTCAAATCGCCCTCTCTCTCTTTGGTTCGTCCCTTGGGTGTTTGGGATCCAAAACCCAGCTCTCCTCTTCTCCTCTGGCTGAAAATCGGGTTTTAAGCAGAAAATCCCGACTCACACGGGCAGGGTGGCACGGCCGTGTGGCTTACCCAGTTGCCCGTGTGAGTCAAAACGCTGCGTTCCAATTAGTTCGAATTCCAGGCTCTTTGCACGGCCAGAATGGCACGGCCGTGTGGATATCCCCTCTTGCCCGTGTTTGCTCTCGCAGAATGTGGCACGGCCAAGCCGGCCACTTGCACGGCCGTGTCGATCCTCTGCACTGCCCGTGTGTGCTCTCGGCAAAACTCGCACGGCCAGGCCATTACTTCACACGGCCGTGCGAACATCAGGGCAGCCTGTGTGACCTCCTTTGTAACTTGTCTCGCACCCGATCTTCACCCAATCGACCCCGAACTCGCTCCTAAACCTTCATTCACTTGCCCGGACCTGAAATATCACAAACAAGCACAACCTAGCGTGAAATCGGTCTAAAACACGAGAAACCACCTCTCAAACGGTGTAAGAACAGGGGTGAAAACATGTGTAACTAACGGTCTATCAATCGTCAGCAGCTAGCGCCACTGGGGGTGACAAACAACCTCAGACATCGCAGCTCGGCACCTGAACAGGTTGAAAATGTCCAGGTCCAGCCGCCAATGTGGCCCAATCGGGTTGTCCCTCTGGTAAGCAAACTTGTCGCCAAACCATGGATGATGCACCAAGTAGCTGATGTACTCATGCTCCAAGTTAACCATCCTGCAAAATTAACAAAAACACACCAAACGTGAAAATAATCGTCAATCACAGCTCATTGGGTGGAAAACAAATTCCCCCCACACTTAAATTTCCACTATGGATTGCAACATTTAGGCTCAAGCACACCGTGGCATAGTTGTGGGTATTTCACGGTTTATCCACACAAAGATTCGACCCCAACCCATGCCACGGCGGCTACCATCCACCACACAAGCATTTATGCACAAACTACCATTTGGTGGGAAAATTCTACAAATAAAAGCAATGCGATTCAAACACGCCCACCAAGGCTCAACTAGGCTCATGCAACAACAATCCACCATTCAATCATCCTAATTCACCTAATTCCTCTCCCTAATTCTACGTTCAACATTCAAGGCATTAAAATTCTCCTCACTTCACTACCTAATCCGATTCTCCCAAAATAAATAAGGTAGAGTTGAAAAACCAACCTGGAGACTCAAGTAGGACGTAGGAGGAAGTGAGGTGTGGGCGAGGAAGGCAAAAAACATCCGGAAAACAGACCGAAGAGCGGTCGCCGGAGCTTCGTCGGAAGCTCGTCGGAGACTCGCTGACTGCCACTTTACCGAAGGAAAAATGTCCCAAATCTCCCCAAAATTTCAGCACAGGTTTGTTTTAATGAGGGGAGAAGGGGTATGCAGTTGGTTTTGGATTTTGCTTGCCGAAAATGGGTGAAGAAATGAAAAACCCTCGGATTTTCAGGCGATTTTTGGGTTGTGAAGTGAAGAGTCGCCGTTCACGCCCCTTTTATAGGCGTAGCGCGCAGTTCACGGACGCATTGGCTTGTTCAGGGACTTAGAGACCGTGAACACTCAAATCCGTCCGTGAACTGGGGTTGGTCGACAGGTGGTGCACATGAAGAAGTGCCTGGTTCACGAACACGTTTGCCTGTTCACGGTCTTGTAAGACCGTGAACACAGCAATCCGTCCGTGAACTGAAGTGAAAACAGGGCACTTCTGAAATTTTTTTGACTCGACCTATTCCACCATGCCTCCTAACAATCACAGCACAACCTTAAAATGCAAAAACACTCGAACATTTGAACTCTTCACTTGACACAAAAACGAAAATAAGGAAAAAAAAAAAAACAAACCTCCGTTGGGTTGCCTCCCAACAAGCGCTAAGTTATCGTCATTAGCTTCACGGTTGAGGATCAATCACGTCTTGGAACGTGATGCCACTGAGAGTGGTCCACCACGCTCTCGGGGCGAGGCATGTAGCCTCCCAACTTAAACTCCATGAGGTGTCCTTCTTGGCCGACCACCTTAGCTTCGCCCTTTTCCTTCTTTCAGGCCAAAACTTGTCTCATCTTTTCCCTCCAAGCTCTCTTCTTTCTTTCTTTGAGCTTAGTATCCTCCTTAACTTCCTGCTCAACATCACCACAAGCAAACCAAGTAATAGTGGGGTTCGCCTTGATAGGCTCTCCTCCACTCACATTCAGATCATCCGGCACCAATTCCTTCACATCCTCACTTCTAGCCTTAGTTTCAATTTCAAGAGTGATTCTCTCCTCACCATCCCTTAGGATTAAGGTCCCCTCATTAACATCTATCAATTCCTTGGCAGTGGAGAGGAAGGGACAACCGAGTATGAGCGGCATATCCGAGTCCTCGCTTATGTCGAGAATCACGAAATCCGTAGCATAGCAAAACTTGCCAACTGGCACCAACATGTCCTCCACGATGCCCCTACGGCTAATGACTGAAGGGTCGGCTAAAGTGATGCTAAGTTTAGTGTTCTTGAGTTCACCTACTTCTACCTTTTTGAAAAGCTTATAGGGCATCACACTAACACTAGCTCCTAAATCCGCCAAGGAATTTTCTATATGATGGTTACCAATACTAAGAGAGATAGTAAAGCTACCTGGATTGGACCGCTTTTTGGGAAAGCGGTTGAGGAGAAAAGCCGAGCACTCCTCGGCAAGAGTCAGGTTGGCAAGGCCTTCAAATTTCGGTTTCTTGGTGAGGGATCCTTTGAGATTCTTTGCATATCTTGACATGTGAGCCATGGCTTCAAGGAAAGGAATATTAAGGTGGAGGTTTCGGAGCATTTCCATGAAACCTCCACACTTCTCTTCCAACCCCTCATACATCCTCGTGGGGAAAGGGAGGGGTGGCTTGTACTCAACCACCGGAGATGGTGTCAGCAAAGCTTTCCTTGCCACTTCTTTCTCTCTCCTCAAGGGCTCATCATCTCCATCCTTCGGGATGGAATCTTCCTTCTCAATCACTTCTTTGGGGACAACTCCTGGAGTCACCTTCCCACTTCTCAATTGAATTGCATTCACCACGGCATGCTCCTTGGGGTTCACCACGGTTTGGGAAGGTAGAGCTCCCTTTGGTCTCTCGGTGAGTATCCCTGCAAGATTGCCGATTTGCACCTCCAAACTTTGAAGGCTCGCTTGATGCTTCGGAGTCCTGCCTCAACCGAGGTAAACTTGGTAGTCGCCACATCCATAAATTGCTCAATCTTCTCGAACTTTTGAGCACTTGTGCTTACAAAGGTGTTCACTAGGTCTTCAAGTTTGGATAACTTGTCGGGTTGTTGTTGTTGTTGTTGAAATCCTTGACCACCTTGTACTTGGTATAGTTGTTGGAAGCTCGAGTTTTGGACTTGAGGCTTTTGTTGGATGGAAGTTGGCCGAGGTTGATAATTTCCTGTGGGGCCTTGAAAACCCGGGGGTCGCGGATTAGTCGGGGATAACTGATTCGGGCTCTGACACGCTAAAACACAAAACCAAACTGCGACCAAGTGTAATCGCAGTCCGGAAATGCATTAACAGGCAAGCTCTAATTGTCAACCCGGGGTCTAGATCTATTGCTTACTCCGTGTATATCTGTTATCTAGCAAACTAAGTTGAGTGATTGTGAGTTTAACTAAAAGCAGTAAGCAGTAAGAAAACAGGAAATGGTTCGGTTTTCTAAAGCAAAGGAAGAGTCACTCGGGAATGAGTCCCCCTAGCTCCTTAGTTAGGTCTCAGTTGTAATTACCCTGGGTTGATTTATTGTTGATTAAACTGTAGAAGATCCGACAGTAGCTTGGAATCTCTTAAGCTGACCAAGCCCTCTCAGGCAGGCTAACCGGCAGGCGACTAACCTTCATCGGGGTAGACTGCTGAGGCAATAAGTACATAACTCAACTACTGGAATTGGGTTCCAGTACAAAGCAGTAGATTGACTAACTCTCGTATAACCAATATACTACTACCGAATGATGAAGCTCTAACAACCTAATCAGATTCTATCTATCTCAGGTTGCAGCAGAAATCAAGAAAAGATGATCAGACTTCAATTGATTCAATGAATCATGCATAATTCGATTAAAACTAAACAGTATAACAATCCCAAGTCATACAATCAAGATCCCTAACACATGGAACTAGGGTTCTTCATACCCTAGTGAGAGAAAGTTCTACTCCATAGAGAGAGAGGGAAACAGAATACAAAGCAGTCATACTCATAACAATGGGAAGAATCTGCTCTGGGATGTCAATCTTCACTCCAGTGATGATCTCCAAGCTCGATTGACGAAACCCAGCTCCAAAATCACCTCTAGGATGTGTTCTTCGCACTTTCTCTCTCTAGGGCTCTATTTTTGCTCCAAAAAGTCGATTCCCTCACTTTTGGCTCGAAATTGGGTTAAAACCCAGAAACTCCTGATCACACGGCCGTGTGGCTTTCCCAGCTGCCCGTGTGAGTGTGCAAAACCACATGGCCGTGTAGAATTTCCAGGATGCCCGTGTGAAGGCTCGGTGATTTCCACACGGCCACATGGGTTCCCTTACACGGCCAGTGTGGCTTGCCCGTGCAATTTGATGTCACATGACCAGGTCACACGGCCGTGTGGGTTTTTAGGCGTGCCCGTGTGGCTTCCTCAGCTTCTCGCCAAACGTCCGATCTTCGTCCAATCGACCCCGAACTCGTTCCCAAACCTTCATTCACGTACTAGGACCTGAAATATCACAAACAAGAACAACCTAGCGTGAAATCGGCCTAAAACACGAGAGATAAGACTCAAACGGTGTAAGAATGGTGTGCAAAAACATGTGTATATATCAAGTCATCAAATTCCCCCACACTTAACCGTTTGCTTGTCCCCAAGCAAACCAAGTCAGACACAAGGTAAGCTCAAAATATTTTAATCAAGCAGGCTTTAGGGACATTTGATATCAGCACAAAACACAGGAATCATACTGGCTTTCAAAAATCAACACATGAACAACTTCAACAGCAACCTGGACAACCACCACAGAAGACATTCGAGTGCAGCAAAATCGAGTAAAGAAGGAGTCTCCCTTATATTCATCAACCAACATAGACTTGACTCAACCACTTACTCAAGACAGTCACCTTATGCACAAAACTCAAGATATCATAATTGAGACCGAGCAATCTAGGTCCTCACCGGGATAAAGAGTATAGAGAATATGAGAAAATGAATCGCTCACTCTCGACCAGTGGGGTCAGGACAATTTGATGCGAAAAATGCGCATGCTTATTCTCTCAATCCCTAACGTCTTTTCACCATGAAGGCAACCTCTAAATGCTAGAGTTCACATATGGGGTGTCACCACTAACTAATCCGGAGGTCTTAGACACAGGTTCAAATGACTGGCTAGGATCTTGGACATGGGGAAAAGGCCTTTTAGGTGGTGGAAGTATTCATAGCACAAGGTTCCACAGTTCCAAACCCAACACAATCACAGTCAATAAAACCACATACTTTCTTTTTGCCATTCTGCATTACTCCCATTCTTTAGAGCACAAGAGCGAAGGAGGTACATAAATGCTAGTATTTCCAAGCCAGACTGCTAAGAAACACTACTTAATGGGCACTATTCATATTTGTGGTGGTGGCTCTCTTTTGATTTCATTCATTTTTTCTTTGTTTTTCTCATTTTTTTTCATTTCTTAAGAGAACCACCACCTCTGCACATTTTTCAAACACATGCCCAATTTTTACACCAAAAGAAAGGATAACACACGGCTCAAAAGGGCTGACTAGGGGGTATGACACATCAGGACAGTCAATTTGGTCGTGGGCTAATCCTATGCCTCCATCATCTTAGCTAATGACAATGTGAATGCTACACATCATGGAAGAGGCAACTATCGCACAAGAAAGAAATGAGCAGGCTGAAATCTCACATGGCTACCTATATGCTCTATCTCTCATTTTGATTCCCTGAACTAGATGCATAAACGACTGTCAAGAACAAGTGATCCATCCAAACACAGTTGGTAAGCAAACAGTTGAAAAACTGAACCCCTACACAATTCTACTGCACGTCTCAGTCATCATCATAGGTTGTCCTAGTTACAAACAAGTTGTCATGCAATAATTCGAAAACAATTCGATTCACCAATCAAATCACAGTGCCAATATGATCATGCAAACAACGATACTTGGAGCCCTCAAATCTCGAGATTTGGACAGCGGACTAGGCTCCAAGCACACATATATAGATTCCAACCGATACAAAGCACCCCCCCCCCACACACACACACACTTAAGCACGACATTGCCCTCAATGGAGCAGAGGGAGAGATAAGGGGAACGATGTTACCAGATTGAAATACTGCTGGGACAGTGGAAATGGGACCAGTCAGCAGGTCTAGAGTCATCAAAACACACTGGGTGATAGAAACCATAGTTCCAAGTGGACAAACCGAAAAACAAACGAAAGAAAAACAAACCTTGGTGGGGTTGCCTCCCCACAAGCTCTTCTTTACCGTCGTGAGCCAGACGGTGGCTCCTAAGTTTCGGTCCACCCTAGAACCTCCTTGAAGTTGAGGTTCTCATTAATGAGGTGGAGTCTCAAGTCACGATCATGTGATGTGATAGGTGATGAAGATGCCTCGTGGCCTTGAGGGGGATGAAGTCTCCACTCTCGAGACCTCTCCTTCGCGTCTGCTCTTGTCTCATTGCCCCAAACCAGATAAGATATATTCGATTGACCACCATCGCATCCACCAAGAGGGATCGATGTTGATGTAGTCTTGGTCTGGCAAAGAGACACTGGAAATGGGTCCTTGCCAAGCAGCTCCTCAAAGTTTGGTGGAGATAGTACATGTAACTCGTGGTCGGTGCATGCCTCTTCCACCTCAACTTCATCCTCAGCCTGGACACCACTTGCTTCTTCAACCCCCCTTCCTTCATCAGAATGTGGTCTCTCCCCTTGGAAAAGATCAAGAACTTCCTCTTCTTTGATTTCTTCCTCATACTCCACAACTTCTTCCCTCACCCTTTCGCGCTCTTCTTCTTCTAGCACTGATTGGAGAGCAAGTCCCCATGTAATTTCTTCAATGAGATCATCTTGCATATCATCGCTCGGGCCCAGCATATCAGAGCGGAAATGGGACAAGTTGTGATCTACCACCAGAGGATACACTTGATCATGATTATCATGGGAGCTTTCCGTGACAACTTCTATATGCTCCTCAACTTCCTCATGATTTCCTTCTTCTTCCTCCTCCTCTACTTGTATGGCAGCATAAAGGTTGTCTTGAGAAAACTGTGCACAAGCTTTCTCAATGACCTCTATGTGCTTCTTTATGCTCCAAATGGTATCCTCTGTCTCACGGGGAAAGGAGAAGTCAGTTTGGTCCATGGCCTGGATATGAGGATCCATCTCGGGAAAGGATCTCTTAGGTACTCGAGCAATCTGCTCCACGAGAAGCCTCAAGTGATAGTTTGGATCTAGATGTGGAGTGTAGCATGGCTCTGCCGGATGGCCCGTGAAGGCTGTGGCTAAATCAAGATCTGATGGCCCTTCTAGTTGTGGGAGGAATTCTTCTTGATAATGAGATTGTTCTTGAAATACCCAAGGGTCTGATTGTTCTTTGCAGTAGGGGGTTGAACTGAAACCCGACTCCATATTCTTCTCCTCCTTGGGTGCTCTAGGAAGGCTCGGGGTAATACCACTCGGGTGGTGGTGGATACCCCCAATGGTTGGAGAAGCCTTGAGAATCCATGTATCAGATCTGCACCAACAAAAACAAAATACCCAAGTGAAAAGCAAGGGTGGAAAAGAGAGGATGCATAAAATTAAATGCTAAAGTAACAGACTTTCACGTTTCTACCATAACCTAGAGGTCCCTGGCAACGACACCAAAAACTTGACAGTTGACACGCTAAAACACAAAACCAAACTGCGACCAAGTGTAGTCGCAGTCCATAAATGCAGAATAGTGGCAAGTTCTATTTATCAACCCGGGGTCTAGATCTACTGCCTACTCCGTGATTATCTATTATCTAGCAAACTAAGTCGAGTAATTGTGGTTTTAACTAAAAGCAGTAAGAAAGCAGGAAATGATTCGGTTTTCTAAAGCAAAGAGAGAGTCACTCGGGAATGAATCCCCCTAGCTCCTTAATTAGGTCTCATTTATAATTACCCTGGGTTGATTTACTGTTGATTAAACTGCGGAAGATGCGACAATAGCTTGGAATCTCTTAAGCTGACCAAGCCCTCTCAGGCAGGATAACCGGCAGACGACTAACCTTCACCGGGATAGAAAGCTGAGGCTATGAACACAGAACTCCACTACTGGAATTGGATTCCAGTACAAAGCACTAAATTGATTAACTCTCGTATAACCAATCTACCACTACCGATTGATGAAGCTCTAACAACCTAATCGAATTCTATCTATCTCTGGTTGATGCAGAAATCAAGAAAAGATGATCAGACTTCATTTGACTCAATGAATCATGCATCAATCGATTAAAATCAAACAGTATAACAATCCCAAGTCATTACAATCAAGATCCCTAACACAAGGAACTAGGGTTCTTTATACCCAAGTGAGAGAAAGTTCTACTCCATAGAGAGAGAGAGAGAGAGGGAAACAGAATACAAAGCAGTCATACTCATAAAAATGGGAAGAATCTGCTCTGGGATGTCAATCTTCACTCCAGTGATGATCTCCAAGCTCGATTGAAGAAACCCAGCTCCAAAATCACCTCTAGGATTTGTTCTTCGCACTTTCTCTCTCCATGAATCTGTTTTTGCTACAAAAAGTCGATTCCCTCACTTTTGGCTCGAAATTTGGTTAAAACCCAGAAATTCCCGATCACACGGCCAGGCCACACGACCGTGTCGCCTTCCCAGATGCCTGTGTGAGTGTGCAAAACGCGGCGTTTCGATAAGTGGACTACAGGCAAGCTACACGGCCAAAACCACACGGCAGTGTGGAATTTCAAGGATGCCCGTGTGAAGGATCGGTGATTTCCACATGGCCACATGGGTTCCCTTACACGGCAGTGTGGCTTGCCCGTGCAATTTGATGTCACACGGCCGTGTGGGTTTTTAGGCGTGCCCGTGTGGCTTCCTCAGCTTCTAGGCAAACGTCCTATCTTCGTCCAATCAACCCCGAACTCGTTCCCAAACCTTCATTCACGTACTAGGAGCTAAAATATCACAAACAACAACAACCTAGCGTGATATCGGCTTAAAACATGAGAGATAAGACTGAAACGATGTAAGAATGGTGGGCAAAAACATGTGTATATATCAAGTCATCAGGCTCAAATGTACACATTTTACCCCTCACGTCTTATTCGTTTGGCTTAGTATTTCATCGTTGCTCGAAATATTTCACGCTAGATTGTGTATGTTTTGATACATTTTAGGTCCTAGCACGTGTGGAAGGGTCAAGGACGTATTTTGGGATAATTGGAGGTCAAAAGCGCAGTGAAGTGAAGGCGTCCCAGGAAATAGCCGTCGTTCACGACCAGACAAGGTAGTTCACGGTCTCCTAAGACCGTGAACATGGACCACAAACCGTGAACATCGAGCAGTCTAGCGTGGTTCCAGAAGTTACTAACGACAAGGCAGCTCACGGTCTCTAAGATCGTGAACTGGGGCCATTAACCAAGAACCCAGGCAAGTGAAGCGGCGCGTTTTGGAGACATCTGAGTTCACGGACGCGTTTAGGAGTTCACGGCCATTAACTGGACAACGCGTTCGTGAACTGACCACTTTCGGGCAAATATGAAGACAACTGCCGGGAGAGAGAAAGGGGAGCTGGTTTTGAGAGCTGGTTTTTGGAGAAGAATTAGTTTCTTTCTCTAGGTTTTGCCCAAAAAAACCGAAGGGGAGTTCTATTGAGAGAGAGAGCGAGAGTGCTAGAGTGATCTTGGAGCATCATTGGAGGCTTGGGTGGAGATTCAAGCCAACTACAAGAAGAAGAAGATCTTGAGATAAAATTTGTAATCCCTCTCTCTCTTTAGAAACTCACTCTTTTCTCTTGGGTGTTGTAGATCCCTAACTTATACTTTGTAATTACTTGCTTAGATTGAATGATTAAGTGTGGGTTTGCATTAATTTGAGTATTAGAGGTGTTTTCCTGGTGATTGTGCATGTTTGTGCTTAGCAAGCTAAGGGTTGTGCATAATTGTGCTTAGCAACTTAAGGTTTGTGCATAATCGTGCTTAGCAATCTAATATCTAGGTTAGAGACCATTGACTCAAGTTTGCATCTAGGTTGGTTGTGATTAAGTAGTTCAAACTCCGGTTTGAGGGAGAGGCCTAGGAAACCACTAGTGACTGAGTGAGAGGATCGATCCCATGGAAAATCGATCTCTAGTGCATCCATCCCGTGACAAATGGATCACTAGTTGCTCCTCCTAGTGGTTCCCCTAGACTTGGTGAGTGGATCGATCCCGTGACAAATCGATCACTAGTGATTTGATTCCGTGACAAATCTATCACTAGTTGCTCACCCCCGCGGTTCACAACCACCTACGCCACACGACTCCATTCAATCCAACGAGTCGTGGTAGCTAGTTAGGAGGAAGCAATTACAGGGTGAAGCTCCCTTAATTAGGATTTTCCTTTATTTACTTTTCTTTGCTTGTGTAGTTTGTAGTTTTCTTAGTTTTAAACCCAAAACCGTTTTGCTAGATAACAAATTAAGCGATTGAAGTAGGGGTACATGGATCGGCCCGAGTCGATATTTAAATACTTGCTCTATACTGCACCCGCCTAAAGTTGAAAAACTTGGACTCTAGTCAGAATTAATTTTTAATGTAGTTTCATGCGACTCAATGACCAAGCAAAATTAGGATGATTCATCCATCCGGGATTATAAGTATTGCTATACGGGTTATTAGCCCTAGCATTTGCCACGAAATTGACTTTTTCCTCGAGAGTTTTTGCCTCCTTCATTGCTTGGCACTCCGCCATCTCATGGCTAGTGCTTGAACACCAATCACAAGACATCACCGCTCTCTTCCCTTGCTTCTTATCCTCAAGAATTATCTCGATCAACTTGTCAAGCTTCGCTTCAAGTGGAGCGCTTGCTCCCACACTTCTCACTCCTCTATCATTGCTTCTCTTTATACTTCTCTTCAAGCCCCAATTGTATCCTTTGAAGGCCATGTATTTGAGCAACTCGATCACTTGAGGTGGGGTCATATTCATCAATTTCCCTTGGCAAAGAGAGTCAATGAGAATCTTGTCTTCTTGTATAAGTCCACCATAGAAAGTTTAAATATGAAATTGCTCTTCGAATCCATGGTGAGGGAATTGAAGGAAGTAATCGGAAAATCTCTCCCAAGAATCTCTCAAGGTCTCATCTTCTTCTTGCTCGAAATGGGTGATCTTCTTTCTCCACTCGGCCATCTTCGAAGGAGGGCAGTAGCGGGTCATGAATTTATTGAGAAGATCATCCCACGAGGTGATTGAACGAGGCGGTCGGTTGTTGACCCACCTACCTATACACACTTAGAAAACAACACCAAGTCTGGCACAAGCAAAGCACTAACACTTACAAAATAAATGTTTTTCTATTAATTTATATAAGCTGAAAAATTAAACACAATAATTTTTTTGACTATTAATTAATTTGATTTATCCAAAAATAAGTATAGTCGAGTCTGTATCTTTAGTTCATACCAATGGGCAGCCCATTGAGCCCACACTCAGGTCCGCTAATTTTTAGGCTTCTGATTTATTGGCCCACTAGTATGTTGGCCCACTAAGCTACGATTTATCGGTTACAAACTCACAATATCCAGTGTTAAGAGCTCGGAAGATCTCATCTTATTAGTTTGCATACTTTTTTTATTAAAATTTAATGAACTATATTTTATTTATTTTAAGGGTTAATAGCATTTTCTACCCCTCTACTATGGTAAGTTAACAAACGTACCTCTCTACTAAATTTTTGCACGAACATACCCTTATAGTAGTAAAATGTAACAATTTTACCCCTCCGTCTAATTTTCTGTTAAGTGGTCATTAAATGGGTTGTGAAATGATCCAATTGCCCTTCATTTAATCATAAAACACACCTAATATGTATTTTGTATATTTTATTTCTGTAGCCCAAGTGATTATTTTATTAATTTCTCTAACCCAAGTGTTTATTTGTTAAATTTGCATCATACAGAGAAGTTCTCCGCCTCTGCAAAGCCCCTGAACCCTGAACAACGAACTCCTGCATGAATCAACTCCGGCATCGATCGTTCGACGGCGGCTAGAGCAAGCTTCTAGAGAGCAGGAAGGATTCAGGAGCGACTCTTCCCCTCCTTCACCGACGCAAAATTCGCAGGCTCTTCTCCCTTCGTCAGTTCCTCCAGCGAACGGATAGCAATTGCAATCCGACCTCTTCCCCTCCATCGACGTGACATCCCGGCCTCCATCTTCTCCCTTCATCAGTTCCTTCGGCAATCAGCAACGATTTTCGCACCTTCTTCTTCCTTTGTCTAGTCAGTCGATAAAGAATTCCCCCCAAACGCAAATCATGTCTTCCTATTTGCCTCGATGAGGAAGTTACAAATGCCGAATCATGTTATTGTTTTTTGTTGGTTGTAATTGTCTTTTCGGTGTGGTTGCAGCTAGTACTTGAGTTGGACGGAATGTATATTGATGATAGGTATTGGAATCTCATAATCAAAGAGATTTTGTTTCTTAAATTTCTTGTTGTTCTATGGATGTGGCTGTGGATTGGAATTCGACACAAATGTCTAGAATAGCTTGAGATAAAGAGAATAATTTGCTGTTGGTGTAGATTACTAGAACAAAATCAATTAGAACGAAATCAATTAGCGTGAGATAAAGAGAACAATGGTTTTTGCTGCTCATCATCTTCGTATGTAGATCCTTTTTGGTTTTAAGAGCAACACCTAAAATGCTTTAACCTAGGTGGCGGACAATGTGGAGAACTGGAGAAATCCCTCCACCCAAGTCCCACCCACCCCATCTCTCTCTCTCTCTCTCTCTCTCTCTCTCTTACTCTCATTTTCCCCTTCCCCTCTCTCTTTCTCTCTCTCTCCCACCCACCCTCATCCACTTTTTCCCTCATCTCTGGCCACAATCATCTACCACCGTCGTCGCCCAACTCCCTCTGTCGCTGAGCTCGCTATCAACTACCATCGTCGTTGCCAAGCTCCCTCCACTCGCCGGGTCTCCCTCTTCAATCGCGACCGTTCTAATCCTCAACCCTCGATGCTTGCATGTGTGTTGTGGTTTTCGACCTTCAAAATCAGTCGACAAAGAGCTCGATGTAGCGGTGGTAGAGAGGCGGGATGCTCACGTCGGCGATGGTCCCTCCTCAAGTCGGCGATGTTCAAAACCACCCCAGATATCCACATGAATTAACTCAAAAGGACGAGTACTTATAATAGTACTAGATGGGAAAGGAATTCGAGTCTCTTTAGCTCACAAACAAGATGAACAATGACTATCTGGCAACTGAGTAAAACGAGAATCAAAACCAGAAATAAAAGACAAAGAACGCAGTCTCTCAAGAGAAGGATGCCCCAATCTCGTGTGCCACAAACTGAGTGATGAAGAGGGCTCTCGGTAACTTTCATAAGCCACAGCATGTCGCCCATCATCGAACAACCGGAGATAATATAACCCATCACGCTGAAGGCCCATCCCAATCATCCCTCACCAAGGTGAGTCATGTAGGACACAAAAGTAGTGGAGAAAGTTCAAAGCGATGGAGAAATTCTTAGTGAGGCGAGTGATGGACAAGAGATTACATTCGAATTCCGGAACCAGCAGAACTCTAGATAAAACCACACCATTACAAAACTGAACTAAACCCACTTGACTAACATGAACGGCAGCGCCATTGGAAACCCGAACTTGCAAATCGTTTGGGGGAAAAACCATGCAAAAAAACTTACGCATCATGAAATATATGTTTATTGCAACCTGAATCCAAAATCCATTCAAGAGGAGAAGAATATTTACCCATGAGTTTGGTGGCCGAAGCTTCAGGAGAAGAGGAACCAGCTAAAAACTCACGAAGTTGAGCTAATTGGGACAAGCTCAAACCAGCTACGGGACTTTCACCTTCGTCAACACTTGCTGCTTTAGGCGATGGTCGAGGACGATCAACACCTTTGTTAGCACCACTGTCTGGCTTCGTCGAAGTGGAAATTAGAGATTCACGTTAGCCGATTAGATCGAAACAATGCTACCTTAGATGCCCAGTCTTCCCACAATGTGTGCATTTGTGTCTTCCACGAGGATCAGCCTGCGTTGAGTCCAAACGAGATGCATCATCGCGTGCAAAGAATGCAGCTGCTTCAGGAGTAGAACGGTGACCAGCATCAAGGCGCCGTTGGTGAGCATCATTGAAAACCAACTGATATGCCGCCGAGAGTGTGGGAAGAGTCTTCATGGATAGGACTTGAGTTTTAACAATTGAAAAGGACTCATCAAGTCCGATTATGAAGTCATACAAACGGAAAGTCTCTTCTCGTTGTTGATTCTTATGTTCAGCGCCTCACACGCATGAACCACACATACAGGGATGAAGAGGCGCCATGGACAGCACCTCGTCCCAAAGATTCTAGAGTTGAGAGTAAAATTGAGGGACAAACATTTTTTCTTGGGGAAGTCGACTTATCTGTACACGTAACTCGTAAACATGCGGGGCGCTTCCTTGAGCAAAGTGCTCCTTCAGGTCAACCTAGATCTCTCTCGCCGTTTGAGCATAATGAGTCCCGCGACGTACCTGCTTGTCAATAGCCGAAGTGAGCCACCCCTTCACCATGTCATCGGCACGACGCCAGCTCTGTAATTGATCAGCTTTAGTTGGCGGCACGAGGGACCCGTCGACAAATCCAAGTTTGTTCTTGGCTAGAAGCGAATTGGTCATATCATGAATCTAACCCGCATAATTCGACTCATTCAACAATTCCCCAACATAGGCTTGGTTAGGGTTATTAGATTGGATAATGAAGTACGGCAAGGTAGGTTCGTTCTCAACTTTGATACCACTGTTGCCGCCGCTACCACCAGAACCAAAAACTTTATCATCAGGCTTCTTCTCTTCTGTATCACCCATGGTATATCTAGAAAACTACGATCAGATCAGCTATAAAATAAACTGAACGTGCGAAAGAATAACGACACATCGATTTACGTGGTGTCCTCGTTCGTGGGAACGAGACTAATCCACGGAGAACTCAAACAAGAGTTCTCGGTTTAGGTTTTATTAACTCACACACACTAACACCACCACACACGGCTACAACCGCTACACACCATATATATATATATATGGATACGACTCGTACGACCCATATATATATACATATATGGTGGCTTCTATGGTACCCCGGGTGAAATCTGGGGTACCGCATACCTCGAGTATGGAAACTCTATCTGGACCTCGAATTACCAGGATTTTTGTGTCTGATATTATACCCTAACCCTTAATGAGTGAACCCTAGGTCATAATTATCTAAATCATAATCTATAAACCCTAAGATGGTGCATTCCTTTTTGTGCATATATTTGGATGAATCATAACCGTCGATTATTATTTCTAATTAAATTGATCTTGGAGTATAATATTGGGATAGTTAACACCTAGATTTTGATCTTTAAGTGTTAGAGTATAGTATCATGTCCAAAAGATCGGTCAATTCAAGGACTAGATAGTGTTTTCATACTCAAGGTATGCGGTACCCCGGATTTCACCCAGGGTACCGTAGAACTCGTCATATATATATATATATTTCTCTAGCTCCTGTTTCACCAAATCTACTAGGGCTAGGAAACATAATTACATAACCACTCCTCATGTTTTATCATGTACACATGAGGACAATACGTCACTCCTCAACAAACTGCAGTTACATTTGCACCATCGATAGTCATGATTGCTGCAATAAAATCAAAAGATGAAGTCACCCAAAAATCCTTTTTTCATCAAATAGCCTTGGCCTAACCCTGCATTGAAATGGGACAACTTATGGAACTTAATTATGAACGACCCCAACAAATTATTCAATCCCTTTTTCTTTGGCCTAACCGATCAAATATCCTTTTTCGCAACCAACATAACCGAGCAACTACTTCCGACCCCTGCCCCGCCACGTTTTTTTTCCCATTCTATCTCAATTTCTTATAATATCTTTCATATGTCTCTAATTTTGACTTTTCTTCAACTAGTTAGAGCCAATCTTTCAACTTGTTAGACTCAAATACCCATTCTATTATCAATATTTTTCATTTATAAAGGGTTTTCCCCTTTGTTTTAGGGTAAAAAGTAAAACCTGCGTATATTTTTTTCAAATAACATGTAAGAGTGGGTTAACCCGTCTCACGTGAATTTTACCTGCACTGAACACCAGTAGCGTGGGGCGGGCATGGGTATTGAGGTACCCGCCCCGCCTCGCCCCATTGCCATCACTACAGGTACTACTTTCTCGCTTTTTCTATTTCTATATAGAGTAGGAAGATAAAATATAGAAGTTTCTATAATTACTTAAACTGGTTATGCTCTACCAAATGATATCTGCTTTGATATATCATGGGTGAAAAATAAGACGTTAATCGAGACAATTTTTACCGTAATATACCATGGTTAGACCTGGCAATCGGGTCGGGTTGGGTAATTTCGGGTTGGGAACTTCGGTTACGAGTCAGGTCATGTTTACTTGGCTTATTTTGCGTCAAATATTGACCCAACCCATTCGGTTTCGGGTCGGGTTACGGATCATTTCGGGTTATGAGCGTTCTCAGAAACAATATCAAACATGCTTCATATTTTCTTAAAGAACACAAATTTTCACATATGCATGACAATAGTTTACCTAACACATGTCAATTAACACATTCTCAAATCCTCCCACGCTAATGAAATGAAATGAAATATAAATTGCGCAAATCGTCAAAAAACAATCACAAGAGTAATACTAATACAAGAAACAATTGATATTTGATTACCCTTAAACTCCAAACATGTCATTCAAATCCTTGTGATTTTTTTTAAACATCTCACCAATTTATGAGTGATTTTATCATATTTTGGGAGTAACATATTAAATGGAACGGGTCTAAAGGGTCGACCCGCTAACCCACCTAACCCAACCCAAAAAATCACGGTTTATTGGGTTCGGGTCATTCGGATTTTGGGTTACAAAAAATTCTAGTTTTTGGGCGGTTTCGGGTCGGGTTATAATTTGCCAGGTCTAACCATGGTGGTATGAAAGTGCATTATGGTGGTAGGAATATCAAAGTTTTTAATGATAATATATATCATGGTAGAATGTAATAGTTTATAAATTGATTACCATCTACCATCGTCTATCACCATCTACAGCCATGGTAGCTAGCGGGTGTTACAGTTGGTCCAAAAAGTTGTTTAGACCACAATGAATTCACTTCTTCCATACACACTTTTTCAAAATCTAGTTAGAACTTAGAACAAAGGAGGTACGGCAGTACAGGTGGTTTACAAAAATTTCTCCAAAATATGTAAAAAAATTACTATTATTTTGTATATAAAAACGAACTCGTGCTTTCTGTATAAACATTTCAAAAACTTGAGGTAAACAAAAGAGGGAGCTCTCTTATTACTGAAAGTATCAAGAATCCAAGTAAACAGCTAAGATAGTAACTTCAGTACCAAGATACTGTAAACAAGTTATTGTGTATCCGAATTTCCACGACTCTAATATAACAGTAGATTTAAGCTATAAGGTACCATGAATCTGTGCAAAAAAAAAAAAATAGTTTATAAAGAGTACTTGTGCAAATTTTAAACTCGTGAGTTGGTTTTCTTTAAGAAACGAATAAGAGAATGATATATGATTCATAATTAGCCTTCCTTCAACCATTTGATATACTAACACCACGACAGAAACATCTAGTAGGGAGATCCAACAATAATACCAAATTTGGGTTAGTTGTCAAGGAAGTCGGCGAACTTCCTAAATTAACAACCATTTGTCGTCGGGTATGCATAGGACATCTTGGTAAAAGCAAAATCTCTTGAACCGGAAAAATCTGGAATCGCCACGTCGACGATGGGTGGGGATCTTCAGAAACCCTAAAAACGAAGTGCACGTGGTGTTGAACCACCTTTGACGATTCCCAGGAACCAAACCACTCATCAGGATTTTATTGTCGCTGTGTGTACGTATTGATATTTTTGTTGGCAGATTCTTCAGACTGGTTGTAGATTGATATGGCCACGTTCCAAGTGCTGGTGAGTGGCTTAGCGTTCGGTTCAGGAAAAAAACTTGTTCGACATTTGGCTTGTTTACTTACGTTTTGAACTTGAACTAAAAGCCTTGTTCATCTCGCGAGTCAATTCGACATGGTGGCTCTTTTAGCTCAAGTAGTGAGTCAACTTGTTTTTTAGCTATGAGTTGGCTCGACAGTATGGCTAGCGAGCCACCTCGACTACTAGAAGCAAATCAATTAATAACTTATCAGTTGACTTGTTGATTATTCATAAATTTGGTAATTTATATTTCTCACCACATATGATATATGATGTTTAAGACTTTGAGCATGTGATTATATATGGATGATTTATAACATAAAAACGAAATTGTATAAACTAGATTGTTTAGATACTAATTATTACTCACTAACATGATATGAACAATTAAAATATATAGAATAAATGTATGATATATGTGCTCGAAACAAACTTGCGAGCTGATTGACGAGCCGAGCTCAAGTAGAGCTCATGGGCTCATTAATGAGCGGACACAGAAGCTCCAACTAACCACATGTCAGTTTTTTATTAGTAATTTCATCATTCTTTTATATTTTAACTCTTGATTTATTTAGCATAATTAATCCCCAGTTAGAAATGGACAATGGGTGGGTGATGGCAGATGGTATATGTTTTTTTGATATTTTATGGATCAAATAAAAATTACAAATGTTAAAATAATTATGAGCCACACAAACTTACAACAAGATGTAGGGTACAGTTTGAATTAAGGGTGGATTGCATGGGGATGGCAGATGGTAGGTGAGTTTTCTTGGATCAAATAAAAATTATAAATAATAAAATAATTACGGGTCATAAATGTTGAGAAATGTGAATAGTTTGAAAAAAAAACTAAAGGAAAGTCCTTGAAAAAGGTAAATGTAGTTAATTCGGATTAATTCTCCGTATTGAACGAAACGTTTCTTCAATCAGAATTAATTTACCGAATTAACGGAAAGTTCAATCAATTGGATTGATTTTCCATATTGAAGGAATCTTTCATGATCAGATCAATTGCCTATAGTAACGGAAAGTTTCGATCAATCGGATTGATTTCTGGTATTAAAGGAAACTTTTATCAATCGGGTTAATTGTCTGCATTAAAGAAAGGTCTAATCAGGAGTTATTACTCTTGATTTCCTTCCTTAAGAAGATTCTCAAATCCTCCACCAAGAGGGGAAGGCTAAAGGTCTCATCCTATATAAATAGATGAGTTGCCTAACCCTAAAAAAAAATAAGAGAGAGCAGAAAAACGAGAAAGAGAATGAGTTCATAGAGCTCCGGTTTTTGCACAAAACCGATGAGCAACAAAATTAGAGTGGTTGTTTTATCCTGGAGGCGACCGGCTGATAGTATGCCATGCGCAATGAAGGCAATGCCGCGAACGTCTTAAAGAGAGCGACCTAGTCCGCGACTAAGCCAGATCGGTAACCCTATTTTTTCTGTTCGGTTTCTAACAATAAAAACTTACAATGAGAACCCCCAAAGGGTTGGTCCAGTGGTAAAGTTGGAGGATAAACTTACAACGAAGGGTATGACATGTTTGATGAGTTTTACTTCATAGATTATTTTATGAAACTGATCATGTTAGCATTTACTGCATCAGCCTCAACCTCATGTACTTTTGTGGTTTGGTGCACTAATTTTACTGACAGTCCTTTGGTTAGTAGTATTTTTATTATTTTTAGTGAAGGTGATAATGTTATTGAAGAAACAAAAGAATCCAACAACTTCATTAGTGGTGTAGGTGCAAGAGAAGCAAGAAAGAATGGAGTAGGATGGAAAGTAGGCAAAGAGAATCAATAGAAGGTTTGAAAAAATACAGCTTCAACATCTGCCAAACGAATATGGGTAAGAGACTGACTTCATATCCGTTCAAATTATGCTGACACCATTGAGACCAAGATCCAACAGCCATTGGATTTTGATCTCAACAATGTTAGCACGATCTGGCACTATTCATAGTCAGTCTCATAACCGTGCTCCTGCCAAACTCAACCAAAAGCAACAAAAGCCACTTAGAAAGACAGCAAATGGAGGCATCAAACGTGAATACCTAGTTGTTAATGATCAATGAGTTAAATGATTTATGAGAAACTCGAAAAGCAATAATTGGTACCTTGTTCATTACAATCCGCTAGTAATTCCAGTAATAAAGATTGGCAGGTTATGAACTCCGTCTCTTTCCATATATATGAATGGCAAATGGTCATGCTTGTGGTGGGTAGGGTTAAATTCGTGCCCCGTCCCGCCTTATAATTTTTGACCCGCCTTACCCCACGTCCCATGGCGGGTCGACGTTTTTTGCTCCAATCATTGCCCCGTACGGGCGGTTAAAATCCGACCTGCCTCTACTCCTCTAAAATGACGACCTTTAAATCCAAAATACCAACCAAAATAGATGAATTTTTACATGCAAGTGATGGAATATGAATTGACATACCTATCTATCTACATTCCATACGAGCCAATTGGCGTGCCACTTCATTTCCTACTCTTCCTTAGAATCTCCAAGTTATCACCCCAATTTGTTCTACAAGTTCCCTTATTTCATCACATACCCCACCAATATCTAACCGCGATGATTCCTCTTGGTTCAATTTATAGAACAGTGTTTGGCAATCGGTCTCCATCAGTGCCGGTTTAAAGCCATGGGTGTTCCTTAACTGGCAATGCCCGTTGGAAAGCTTTTGCTTATGCTAATTCCTACCCCCAATTAACGGACCGCCATCTGGAATCGTCCCATCCGGTCTCTCCCCTCCCCCCTCCCTCGCGAAAGGAAATTTGCAGCATCAACATTTGCATTTGTAGAAGAAAATAATGGGGTCAGTAGGAATTGAACTCATGACCAAACACACATTAAGTAGCATATTAGCTGAATTGGAAGTTTGGTCACTAGAATTACTAAAACATTTCACGTTTGCCACTAAAATTACTTTATTCCATTATCAGTCACTAAAATTCAACAATTCAAGGTTGGTCACTCTCCTTTAGTCTCCGTTAACTTTTTCTGATGTGGCAGTCAACTCTTAGAGCGGATCGTTAAATGAGTGATGTGGCAAATAAAAATAATATTTTATTATTTCCTCCTCATTATAGGTATATATTAAAATAAATACAACTTCTTCCCTTCAGCTTCCCGTCGGACACTCACCTCGACCGGACAACCAGGGGTGGGTAAACTCGTCCTCTGCCCGGCTACTTCCTCCAAGGGAATCCAACACCTTTGATTTCCCTCTTCACTGGGGGACGACCATGATACCTTGGTGCACCACAGTCCCGATTCCCCCAATTACCAAACAAAGTAAAACAATTTTTATCGAACTCATCATCATCGCACTGATTTCCCCGACCGGCAGCGGCTATAGCCTCCTCGACAATAGTTCGATCTCTTCTTCTCCCTCATTTTCAAACAATAAAAGTCCATAACTCCGTTAAAATACCCAATCAAAACGCGTCCCCCCTCGCCGTCATTGGAATCTTTTGCTCTAGCTCCCTCTAAGAAGAAGAATATTGATTGGCCCTCGAATTTTATGAAACCCTCTAGCGCGCCTAGAACGAAGGGCTTTGCCCTCTTTCCCGATTTTCTCCTATCCCCAACGACCCAGATCTGGCCTCCTCCACGAGCTTCCTGGTCATGGCGGCGGCGACACGATTGTGGTGCACGGTACGTATGAGGGAGAATGACTCGAAGAGGCGGGATACGGAGTAGACGATAACGGGAATGGAGCGGCCGAGGGCGGCAAAGAAGAAGATCGGGTCTAGGAGGGTGTGGCAGGAGCAAGCGAATAAGATCCCAGAGTATTCCTGCGGTGGCGGAGGTTGGCCGAAGGTGGGGAATACGATGGCGTTTTCAGGTACACGATTGCTTCTTCATGGCTATATGACTCTTTCTCAAGAATGCGCAGGGTCGGACAACGCTCTTCGTCCACTCAATTAGGCCGAAGTTCTCCCATCCACGTTGTCGTTCCTAAAATCCCCAACCCATAACCATCTGTCATCGTGACATTGACCGGCGAAAGCCACGACCCTGTCTTAACTTGACCCTCATCGCCGTCACCCCGGATTCAAATCCAAATTGGACGATGACTTCGGCTGGAGCAAAACTAGACGACAATGAAGGGAATCGGACTATTCGTAGCGGTGGGATGGGACATTTATTTTTCAATGTTTATAATTAGAACTATCAATTTTATGTTTTTTTTTATTTTAATATATAATTATAATGAGATGGAAATCATAAAAGAATAATTTATATTTTTTAATTATTTTTATTTGTTACATCACTCATTTAACGGTTAACTCTAAGAGTTGACTACATCAAAAAAGGTAACATAGACTAACAGAGAGTGACCAAACTTGAACTGTTGAACTAATTTTAGTGACCGATAATGGAATAAATTAATTTTAGTGGCAAACATGAAATGTTTTAGTAATTCTAGTGACCAAACTTGCAATTTAGCCACCAAGAAAATATATAAAATTCCTAAAATACCGAGGCCCCCGATTGCAACACATGCTATTGGCCTACCTTGCTTAAGAGCCACATACGTTTCCAGTTGATAGGTGTATACCTTTCACCTCTATTTCCATTCTTCTTTCGGATTTTTCCGCAAATACAACAATAATTAAAAAATTCCTAAAATACAACACTTATAAAACTTTTCCCCAAAATACTTAAGTTTGCAGTGGTTCGAGTCCATTAAACTCGAACCATTTGTGAGATCGAGTTTGAGAACCTCGATCCACTTTCTGAGGTAGTATATCAAGTCTGATGGCCTCGATCCACTCCTTGAGGTAGTGGATCTAGTTTATCAAACTCGATCCACTGCGTTGAAATTTCTAATATCCTTAATTTTGTGCTCGGTTATCCGATCAGAGTGAAACTTTTTTTGATTCCGCATAACTTTGTGTGGACTACAACGTTTTTAATAGAAATATTTTCAGAATATATGCGTAAATGTGAAAAGTAAATCTAACCTTATTCTCAAAACCTCTTATATCCAAAAAGATTTCCTATTTTGAAATTTTCATCCTAGTAAAAGTTGTAGGACTCAAAATTTTATGCAAAATCAAGACAAAATTTGTGAATATCGGATTACGGAGCCAAAAGTTATGACCGTCCAAAGTTTGGAAAAAATTGAAAAATTGGTCGTTTAGTGTAGCAAATGACATTTTTATGATTTTCTCAAACTTTAAACGATCATAACTTTGTGCTCCATGATCCGATTTACTACAAAGAAATTTTCAAAATAGGAAATCTTTTTGGATATAATGCGTTTTGAGTATAAGGATAGCTTCACTTTTCACATTTCCGCATACATTCAGTAAATATTTCTATTTAAAAAGTTGTAGTCCTTGAAAAGTTACGCGGAATAAAAAAAATTTCACTCCGATTGGATAACCAAGCACAATATTAAGGCTATGGAAACAATCCCACTGCACACATGTTCTTAAAAAAAATTTCAAAATACATATGTTATAAAAAAAATTCCCACAGTACATATGTTTGGCATTCACCGTTTTTGACAAACGCAGTGAAGATTATCACCGCGTTTGACAAACACGGTGAATATTTCACCGTTAAAAAAAACGGTGACGTATTCTGCCTCTTACTCTAAAACGGTGATATATTCACCGCTTTTAACTAGAACGGTGAAGATATCACCGCTTTAGTGAAAAACGGTGAATTCGTCACCTTTAAAGGTACAAAAATAATGAGGTTTGGGGACCAGAATAGGGAACGATCTTTCTATATTGTCTCAGGAAATAATTTTCTAAGTCATATCAGGGACAAGCATATTGTGTTGTCCCCTAGAATAAAGGATGCAATTTTATTAATTCCGTTAGTTAGTTTAGTTGTCCCCAAAAATAGTAAAGCGGAAATATACAATTGTGCGTGGATTTTTATTTTGTAATATTGGAGGTGGATTTTTTCATGGGCAGATTAAGGAGATTCTTTTTTGTCCCCAAAATTGGATCACAATGCGCAAGCAAGCAATGCACCATTAATTTTTTCTTTTAGTCTATCTTTCTCCACGTCATCTTTATATTGTATTTATTTACTTATTTTGGCGTCATAATTCATGGGAATGAATAGGAAATTTTTATATACTTATATGGACAATATTTATAATAGTAATACCTATTATTTTTAATTTTAATAAATTAACTGATTGTTTAGAAATATGGGAGTGCTACACTAACGTTTTAATTAGAGTATTATGGTAATAACAATAATAATATATTCATTTACCTCCCTTTACCCCTTCCCTTTATGTCTTTTTTGTTTCATATACAAATTACATTTTTGGTACTTGAACATAATAAATTATAATATTTTGGTGTCTAAAATCAATTTTTTTACATTCAAATCCTAAAAATATCAATGAAAAAATATATTTTAGTAACTAAATTTTTTGTCTTGCATTTTATACCTAAACTTTTCAAAATTTACAAATAAGTCCACTGTTACGAAACTTCTGGTCTGTTTCTAGAATTTTTTATATGCTTTATGAGGGTTGTGATGTTGCTGATAAAAGTTGTGGTCTATTTAAAATTCTTGTGATATGGTGAGGTTGTGGTCTCCTTTATAAGGTTTGTAGTTTTTTGTGGTGTGGTTTTTTGTGCTTTTAGCTGTTTGAGTCCAACTGAGAGTAGGAGGTGGGACTCGAAAAAGGGGTGAGAAGAGTAAGCAACAGGGGGTTTAGAGACGGGGATATTCTTAGAAAGAGAAAGAGTTCTTCGCAAGTCTAGTGAGAGAGTAAAAATGCGATCCCCTCACCCACCGGAGTAAATGCCATATTTATAAGCTACATGGTGGTGGGTGAGTTACATGGTGAGAAAACTGCTGTCATGTTAGAACTTTAGACCATACTCCTACCTAGGACTAGGAGACTTGTCCATGATTGTACCTAGGACTCTGATGTGACCACTCTTCGAGGGATAGGGTGTTGTTTTCGAGGTAGGCTTGGCCTAGTCAACTCTTGGTTGAAACGCCGTCGTTCGTTCGTCTGGGGTTCACGTCCGCGAGTGAGGCTTCATCGCGCTCGAGCTTCTCGCGTAGGCGCGGCTGTGAACGCGGCTTTGGTTATGTTCGCGCTAACGCGTCTAACCCGTCTAAGTCGGTGTTGTGCTGGCTCCTTGGCGCGACTGGACCCGAGCCTCAACCCAACAATTGCCCCCCATCAGGTGGTATTCTGCGGATGCCGCCTGTTTGATTTCCACGAGGTCGGCTCGGATTTGGGTTAGCTCCGCGAGACTATTGGGTTTGGGATTGGGTTCGAGGGTGCTTCCTGTTTTCCACGGAGTGGGTTCACGGTTTTTATGACGCGGATGCGCGTGGCCCTTGTGGTTGAATTTGGGGTTAACTCGCGAGACTACTGGGTTTGGGGTTGGGTTCGGGGTTAATACCAATATGTGATGTCTCTGTTATCTATAAAAAAGAAATTTAAAGATCCCTAATATTATTTGGCGTCCCTATCCACTAAACCACAATTTCGTTTCCATTATTTCTTTCCGGGAACGGATCAGGTCAGTAACCTTATGGTGAGTAACCATGAGAACCAGCCCACATTAGCATGACATCAGCATCCTCTCTCTCCTGGAAAGCCTTTAATTTTCCCCTCTTTAATCTTTGACGGACGATTTCTCACTCATTTTAAGTCGAAATTTAATTTTTTTTGCACAGTTAGATCAGATTAATTGTGCTCTTCAAAATGATATCCACTTTAATATATTTTTCGAACAAAAAAAATTGAGCCATTTTTTACCAGTCTATACCGTATGGTATTGACTGGTATTGAAATAAAAGCATACCTATGGTTTGAAAAACATACCATGGTGGTATGAACAAACCAAGACTGTAGGATGGTTGAATGCATGATAGTAGAAGTATATTAATTGTCATTTACAACTTTTAACATTGTATACCATACAATACCACCCCGAACCAGGGTGGTATTGTATGGTATTGTGTGGTATTTTTTGGTCCTGTAATTTGTTCACTCGGAAATTTGTAGATCCAATAGATCATGATGAACTCGTCCTTTCTGTGCAAACGTTTTCAAAAACGAATTAAAAACGAAGAAGATATCATACAATACCACCCCGTACCAGGGTGGTATTGTATGGTATTGTGTGGTATTTTTTGGTCCTGTAATTTGTTCACCCAGAAATTTGTAGATCCAATAGATCATGATGAACTCGTCCCTTCTGTGCAAACTTTTTCTAAAAAAATATTGAAAATTATTCTCATTTGGTAGAGCACGATGAACTCGTTCCATCTGTGCAAAAAAAAAAATTAAAATCCAAGTTAAAACGAAAAAGATATGAGTCGATTAAGAAAGCTAGGAAACATAAAAATGGTCCTTAATTTTCCATCCTTAGATCTGGATTTTCTAAATAAAGGGTCCAGATTTGATTATTGATGAATGCATAACCCATGGTTATGCACCCTATCTTGAGCCTTTCTTTCCCCTCCATCCCGAATCCCCCATTCCCTCATATCTCCGAAAAATCCTGAGTTACTCTTGATTTTCTTTCCTTAAGATAAACCCAAAATATTTATACAAACCCTACTTATTCTTTTGTTCGGTGATCCCCTTAGACTCACGAGCTGCCGTCTGCTGATCTATAGAGTCAAGAAGTACGTTTCAACGACTGATTTTCTTCAATAGTTTATTAGTTTTCCAGTAAGTTCCAATGATTGAGTCCTCTTTTCGGTATTGATTCTTTCATCTTTTATTGATCCTTTTCGTTTTGTTATTGTTGATGATCATTGGAAGTGGATTTGGATCACTCTGGTAGGATTTATCATTCTAAGATGAAGTGGAAATTCTACCCGCATAACAGTGGGACTTTTGCTTATTTCCCTTCATGCTTTGATGTTGTTCCCCTCGTCTGCTAATCTTTTCTTTTGGGCGACGAGGCGTGATTGCTTTCTCATAGTCCTCATGTTGTCTAAGGAATGATATGTGCTTAAATCCTCTGTTTTACACCTATTTTCTGAGCACCGTACTTGCTTCTCTTCTCCACCTTGCGTCCCAACTTCTCTTTTTTTTGCGTTGCGTTCCTAGTTTTAATTGATTAAGTCTAGGGTACATATATAAACTTGCGGACCAAATTAAGATGTTCTAATCTTCTCTTTTCCGAGCAGTGACTCTTGTTTGAATTGATTAAGGCTAGGGTACATGAGCTAAACCAAACCGAGTGTCCTTATCTATTTCTCAACTCCAAGTTTTGTTTTGTTATTTTTGTCCTTTTAACTTCTTTGTTAATTTGTTGCGAATGTTATTTTTCATTCTAACCATTATAGTAATTCTTTGTGCAGTAATGGTTCGTGCAATCAACACAAGAGCGAAAACATGTAACTTTGTTCCAGAAATTGAAGTGTTTTCCAATAATCTGTAATTCAATTAGTCATCCAGAAAGATAGAGACTAAAAACAATCTGTTGCCCCTACAAGTTATATAAATGACAAATTGACGACCCTAAAGACACTGCTTAGGGACGATTGGTCGTCCCTACCAATTAAATATGTGACAATTAGTCGTCCCCGAAAATACTAGGTAAGAGGCAATTGATGGACCCCACAAGTGATGCAGGTGACAACTAATCGTCCCCAAAGACACTTGTCAAGGGACAACAAGTTGTTTATACGAGTTACTAGGGGATAATTATTCGTTCTCATAATGTGCATAAGTGACAACTCCTCGTCCCCCTGTACACAAGTTAAGAGATAATTGTTCGTCCCTAAAAATAATAGGTGACAACTTGTCGTCTCTAAAAATATAGTATATGAGACCACTCGTAGTCCTTAAATAAAGCTTTTGGGGACGAATTTCGGACTCCAATTTGACACATATAGGAATGACTTGTCGACCCTACAAAAAGAAAGGGGGACAACAAATTATGCCCATATTGGCCCAACGCAATTGTAAAATCGATTATGTGAGACAACAGTTTGTCCCTAGAAATGATATTTAGGGGACGACTTATTGCTGCTAAAATTATAGCTACGGGACGTCTTATTGTCGCTGAAGTTATAACTATGGGGACGACATGTTGTCTTTCATGAAAAAGAAACGAGATGACGGCTTGCGAATATCAGGGACGACTGTCGTCCCCATTACTGGGGACGACCTAAATTTTTGTCGTCCCCAAAAGAATAGAGGACAATAGTATAGGGAACCACACCTTAGGGACAACTTAGTCGTCCCCAAATTCTATAGGGACGATTTTCCCTATTTCCGGGAACGACTTTTGTCGTCCCCAAACCTCCTCTTTTTTGTAGTGTTTTTAGGGCAACACGGTGAATACCTTCACCGTTCTAGGTTAAAACGCTGAGTATTTCACACGTTGTTCACCGTGTTAGAGGAAGACAGTGAATACGTCACCTTTTTTTTTAAACGGTGAAATATTCACCGTCGTCAAACGCGGTGATAGTCTTCACTGCGTTTGTCAAAAACGGTGAATGCCAAACATGTGTACTTTGGGAAAAAAATTTATAACTTATGTATTTTGCGAATTTTTTTTAAGAACATGTGTACAGTGAGATTTTTTCCTTAAGGCTATTGGAAATTTCAACGCAGTGAATCGAGTTTGATTCACTGCCTCAGGGAGTAGATCGAGGCCATCAAACTCGATCCACTACCTCGGAAAGTGGATTGAGGTTCTCTAACTTGATCCCACTAGTGGTTCGAGTCGATTGAACTCGAACCACTCCGAAGTTAGGTATTTTGGGAAATTTTTTTATAAGTCTTGTATTTTAATTTTTTTTGTAATTATTGTTGTATTTGGGGAAAAAGTCATCTTCTTTCTCTTTTCACTCCTTGTAA